CGAGGCAGTATTATGTTAACCGATCTCACTCTCCTTCATTTAGCGACGATGGAGTTGCACACAGAACAAAGAGATCGCGGAGACCAGAGGGATACGATCTCAGAGGACGGCAACAATGTTTTCTTAAACGACTATTAAAGTAGATAATATCAGGGGGAATTGGTGTAACTTTAAGTGTGCCTTTGTTTCGTGTTGTAATTCTATCTTCGCGCGGTTATCGACTCCACGCGGTGTCCACTTCCGCTAGATTATAATCGGGGAAACTCGCACGGCTGGCTTCGCTTGGAACAATGTAAGACGCAAGTAGGAAAATACGCCGACGATAGGAATGGTATTTGACTATCCCTGTGGGGGAGAAAACTGATCCTCAATTAATAGAAAACGTTTTCCCGTTGCGATTACGGCAAAAGGATGTACACAAATAGTACCACGATTATAAAAGACCGCAAATTTAAAACGAACAGTAATTTAAGCGATATAAAGCAGGCAAGGAAAAAGAGCACCATCTGCCGATAATTCATTTAAAGCAGGCTCGGGACGAAACTAAAATGATAAATTTTCGGGAAATTATGTTCAGGAGTGTTATGAGTAATACACAAATGTTGCATTGATTCCATAGTGAAATTATTTATTTCTATCTTGAATTTTTGCTTGCTTGCATAAAATGAAAAATTCATATAATATTGATATGAATCTTAATATTGTTGACATTTTATTTTAGTTAGCTTCTAGTTTTATAATAGTTTTCTATTATATACAATGGGAATTCTCATATAATACATTGCTTATACATGTATATGCAGTAACATGCTCAGTAGTGAAAAAATATATAAATTCGACTCAGAATTGTGAGAATCGGTCTGAACTGGTTCTACACGCGCTGTAAGTCACCATACCATGCATTCGCACACGTGTGTGTGTGTCATTAAGCAATACTATATTCCGAGCAGCACAAGCCTGCTCTGTTACCCGCCGCGGAGACGTGGATTAAACCAATACTCGAGGGATCGCCGGTGTGTTTCACAGCCCCGATGCGTCCGCTGGGTATTGTCATACCATGAATTCCGAACAAGCGCTAAGTTTGAAGTATGTTTATTTTGAAACAAGGGAAGCAGGTGCCGGACGTTTTCTGGGAAGTAGTATTAATACAAATGGCTCCCAATTCATTTTTTACAGCATTTTCCCGTCACCGATACCGATTCATGTGTGTTCTACAGCACTGACTGCAATGACCTTTTTCGTTTAAATTCTTTATTAACAGAGGTGAGAAAGGGTAGATAATTGACCAAGATCCTCCCGTGTAATCAGGAAAGGCTGTGCAACTGCGGTAAAAAGGAGTAGGTTTCGGTGAATTGTGACAGTAATTTCCTTACCATCTTGTTATTTATAGCTTAGTTGAAGAACAGTGTAGACTGAGCGCGTGCAAATGATGTGGCTTTGTGAAGCATGGAACGTTACGGCACGTTCAAGGAAATCCACACTCAACTTAAAATGACGGGGACGATGGAGGCTTTTAACGCCGCTAGCGAGATTAATTACATCTCCGATATTATTTCACGCTATTTTCCACGAACAAAGCTGGCCAATCTGTATCTTTCAGGTGTTAGTGGTTGTCATGCCACCCGAAACGTTTTGTAGTGAATTTTGCGTGCATGTGACAAAAAAAAAAAAAAAAAAACGCGCCGATACTTAGCCATTATACCTCCCTCCTGACAGCTTCAATAACAATCACATTCACAATGGAGCAGTACTAGTTCTGGGGGCAAACCGTTCCCAGGGCAACGAACGGTATTGCCGCCGAATGCGTTCAAGTTAATCATATAGAGAATGCCTGGCTGTCTGTGTTGGTTCTTGTGTTCAATTTCGAATTCATTATAATTCGTTAAACAAACACAATAATTTCTGATTAATTTCAATGAAAGACAAAAACAAGCACATTTCAGTAAAATTCTGGAGCATATGAAAGGGAAACTGTCAATCAACATGACTGACAGGATGGAGTCACCGGTGACGAGATGCATCTCGGGATATTCAAGCCGTTTATCTTCAACTCAACCCATGGGAAAATTAACTTTCCGTCTTTCAGCCTGTTGATGCATGAACGTTCTAGTAATCATTGTTCAACTCCACGATATTTATAGCTCGATTTTCATTCTGTAATCAGTAAAATGTTATATTTGTTCATTTGGTCACGGTACAATGCATAGACCATTTTCCCGGATGTAGCGAGACTGAGGTGCCAACTCGGGCGCCATGTCAGTGTTCAAAAGAATGTCATAGTACCCGTCCAATCCGCGATTTTTGTCTTAATTTGCTTATTTTGTTGATATGTTGTCATGAACTGCCCATTCCTGCAATCAGTGACCCAGCTAAACAAGAACTTCAGTCCCATGCGGGCGCTGTCACACCTTATTCCCGAACATTGCGGTCATAGAGGTCGTTAGATAAGTGGTACGTTTTACAGGGCATCAACATTTAGCTCATTCATTCAGATAACTTAAAGATAATCTTATCGTAAATATTAGTGAACACAATTCTCTCCATAGACGAGATAAGTGGTGCAGGATTCCCTGAAATATGAGTAGAATATATCTAAAAGCAAGGTTACCATGGTGATGAATAAATAGCCCAGTTTCGGGTTATCTGATTGATCGGCTACCACATGCGGAGATCCGTGTTTGTAAATTGTGGAGACTATAGCAGATTGTGAAAACAATAATTGTCGTGGATGAAGAGAGAAAAAAGGAAAAACCGCATGATGCGCAAAACAATAGGGGAAAATATGAATACACAAATATCTGCCAGCGCAAGTAAGTAAAACAAAATCCCAGATTTCAATTAGATAACCACCAAGGAAAGTGGATTTAACGACGTGGACATTATTCCAGACAACAAGAAAATATGCAATTTTTGGTAGATCATGACATTTTAATACTGCCTTTAGTTTTGTTCCGAGCATGATGGTGATTTTGTAATGAAGGCACCCAGGTTACATTTGAAAGTATACACAAATCGTCCAAATATATATCCGTACACACACAATGGAATTAGACAAATGAGAATTATAACATCTTAGTATTGTATATTTGAGATATCATAACAGCTAAGGATTTCTGTTAAACTGTGATAAGCAATTTCACGAACAAATGATTATATACTCGCCCTGTGCGCTCTGAATGGGCGTGGCAACAAATTGAAACTCGTTTACATAGACAAAACAAATAGATATTGTAAATTACAGCATCAATCAATTATACTGACGATGTTTATTTTCAGCCAAAGTATTACATAACATTTGTAACAAACTTTAATGCTCACATCAGTGTCTTCTTTAAAAATTGGCATTGACAGAATATATCTTGAACAATGAAGAAAGTATCAACAGCGATGTCTGGTTACAAATAAGCAAATATAACAGAGATTTAATGTTCTTTCACATCGAGAGGGTTGTAAATCAAATAAAAATATAAAGTTGCGTTACGTCTGCCATTGTATTTCGCTTTACGTCATCGATACGAGCACTATTTTCATCATTGTCAGTGGCGAATGCAGTCACACTGAGCTCCTGCCCTCAACGTTGTAAATTTGTTTCACTGTGATAACAAAATAGAAGTTTTAACGGCCAAGCCACATTTAATCCATTTCGCGGCCCCTGAAATTATATGTTACATTATATTCATTAATTAAGCCACCACAATAGCCTTAAACCCCTAATATATTACATGATTTTTGCGGATATACCACAGCTCCTTCTGTCCAGCAAACTCCCCTCTCACGTGAATACAGGGTAAGCCTTGACACTGAAGTAAACAACTTCATGCGCACCTACAATTAAACAGAGCGTTGTTACTCAAATTTGTTGGGATGAGTTCCGACCTCATGGTGTGTTTGTCGATTTCACCAAGCTCTGTTAAGTGGAAAGATAACACACGTCATGTTCTACATATAATTATATACATGTAAATTAGTATGCATTTCTTTCTATTGTGACGTCATATATGACTACTGATCAGACAGAAAACGCTCTCTGATTGGAGTGTCGACCTGGGAATATTAAGGGGCGGAGGTCGTCGTACGCGCGAGATATGGGGTTATAAACTGATGGAGACTTTGACTGTTGCGCAGATCAACGAGTACAAACTGAGACACTACCAAGCTTTAATTAGATACTTTTTAGGTGAGTGGAAGGTATTGAAGGATTTACCGGCGGTAATTTGTGCACGTCGCGCACAGATCAAAACTCATACTTTCCATTAGAAGAGCGCATTGGTTCGTGGGAAAATCAATGTTTATCAACAAATGTCGCACATGCGCGGTGCAACGTCCACCGCCATTTAATGTATTAAGGTAGAAGCCTACTCATAATTTTTGACAAAGTTGGTGATAAATTGCACGACAATGTTCATTGTTGTATTATGTAAAATCATAAAGTTATTGTCCCAAGACACCATGCAATAGCATTCTTTTGTGTGTTACAATGACGTATTTTGAGAAACTTGTCCTAATTTTTTTCAAAAATTGCTATTTCTAGAACAATTCTATAGAGCACAATGTTAAAGACATTTTTTGACACTTTTTAAAACCCAGATTTTTTAAATAATTGAGGACAGCATTTCACCATTCACAATATATAATTTTAATTTGAGATATGGCATAATATCTCTGCCATAGGAACCTATAGTAAAAGCATTATAATACTACCAAAAGGGCCATTATCCATTAAAATACAACCACCATTTTCTCGAAAATTAATGTCACCCCCAACTTTTTTTAAAGTAATATCCTTATATCACCCGTAAGTACAATTTATTAGAATTTTTTCCAGCGTTTAATTAATTATGTGTTTGTCATTGCAGTATTTACCGTGGCACGTAGAGGTTCGTCTATCACACAGACATTCACGGCGGGCTTACCACGACTGTGCACTCTTGGTCACGGTAGACGCGCTTTGATACCGTAGAGGTCATACTTCCCAGAATGCACCATTTCCTCTCCATACAGGGAAATACCACTTCCGGACAGCTGTAAACAACGTGTGTGGTTCCACGCTTCATATATTAGACTGTAATTTACATTGAGAACCATGTCTTCATTTAAAAAAGTGGCGAAGTCTGGACAGAAGACTCATCGGGAGAGATCTCAGGTAACATACGTTGAAGATTGGAAGCACAATCGGCTGTCCTGTGTTGTAACGCTATATACAAAGTTGTCGATGTGGTCGTTTTGTGCAACGATCACAACGGTGACACTACATAGCGTACTGAAACAAACCCACGTGGCCCTAAGCTCAGGAGTGTTTTAGTTTGTTTTTTTATGTCGGTCCTCAGGGGTGTGTGGACCGACGACAGCCCCACAAGCAGTCCTGAACTGTGGGCTACGAATGCTTGAGACGCTGTTCTGAAAGCCAGATTCAGTCTGATTTGTGTATATTAGCCTATAATATTTCTGGCCAATTATTTCGCCCAAGAGAGGAAGGGTAGTGGTGATGGGTACTAATGACTTTTATGCATATTTATTTGAACATGGACCGACAAACGTTTGGATGAAATGCATCTCTTTCATTCCTTTAACCCACCAGTGTGTCAGCTTTCAAAGCAACTGAAAGTGTTTGACCCAATCAAATAATAAAATTTTGAACCTTACACCATGTTCACACGTGTGCCACAGTGACGTTGACCATAGACCCTCCAGTAGAGGAGGGTCTATGCGTTGACTAACTTAGTAAACAATCATGGTTTTGATTAGTCTTGTGTTCATAAGCGTATAAAGACTAAACTGAGCTGGCGTTGTTATCGGCCGCCATGTTTCTTTAAAGGGCAGTGGTCGTCGCGCCATGCATGCGCAAGGTATGGGACTTGTACAAACAAAGATGGCGCAGACTAACGAGTACAAACTGACACGCTACCAAGCTTATTTCTTTGGTGATTGGAGGGTATTTAAGGAGTCACCATAGTAATTATTGCACGTTGCACCCAGGTCAAAACTTATACTGGTGATTTTTAATAAAAGAACACAGATTGTGGGAAAATAAATGATCATCAACACAAATTTTGCACATGCGCAGCGCGACGACCACAGCTCTTCAAAATACTTACAATGAATAGAACTCCTGAACAAGGCTGACATTGAGGACATGCTTTTAAGGTGGCGTTATTGTTCACATGTGCTAAAACTGTTTCTCTGTAAGAACTGGGTGCTGGTGGAGTCTTGACAATTTTATGGCGGCTTAAACTAAATCGATGTGGCACCGACTTATATTTTTCACACATGTTTCAACACCGGCTTCTCTATAAAGCTGGCCTCCAAACCGGCTTTTTGGCACACGTGTTAACACGGTATTAGGATAGGGTTTAAACATGCCTTGAATCACAAATAAAATGCCAACATTTTAAACCCTAAACGGATGTATCGTAACACTTAACAAGTCCAACTTCAAAACTATGAAACTAATTATGAAGTATGATCTGCTCCCTGTAAAAGTTCACAGATAACGATTTATTGGACTTTTCGATTGGACTACATTTGATTTACATTGTATGAACAAAATCGTATCTTTGTACGTGAAGAAACTTTCAATTGCAACAGTTGCATTCTGTAACTGAAATAACAAAAACAAAAGATTAATCATCAAAAAAAATATATGTTTAGTCATCTTAACTCTGCCTGTGATTTGTAGGTCAATTGACATATGTAATGCTCATCTCTTATGGATATTCATGCTGTTGTTTGATCGTAATGAATATTCATGAGATTATTTTGATCAGTTCATGGATATTTACAGTATGAGACTATTTAACTCATAAAAACAAAAAAAGTAAACTAAAACTACTATGGGTCAGCAGACCTTATAATATATAACAGATGCCTGCCAGACTGAAATAATTCAGCTAGGGCTCTGTTTGGGCAGAAATCTTTCTATCACTCAAAATCCACATCAAAGTACCATAGGTTACAAAATTGTTTAAATGTCAAGTTTTCTTAACTTTCACAATTTTTTTTCATATTTTTCACAAATTTTGATCAAGACCTGTAGCTGAGGTGAACTCATGTCCATTTGATCCACAACGAAAAAGAATAATCACCTGTACATGGCATCCATGTCTTTGCACACTGAACATTTAATAACATTTTATATGGTTATTATAACATTATTTATCTGTTTTATTTTTAGTAACTGACCCATGTATTTATATTATTTATATTCATTACAAGAATTGCTCTTATTGTGTGCAATCTTGGTCAAAAGCCAAGATATAAAATAAACTTTTGGCAAAAAGTCTGACTCTCATTAAAATGCACCTTTCTCATTTTCTTATCAAGCACATATACGCTCTTAATCACCAGTACTAGAATTCGAGGAAGTTTTTGAAATGAGTACATTTACATAATTGTCTGTTTTTTTCTCATCTTCAGTTGTCTGTAAGAAAACATTTAGGATTATTGGAGAAGAAAAAAGACTATCGACTTAGAGCAAGGTGAGTTTTAATGTCAATTGCTTTACAGAATAGAGTTCGAAATTCCCTGGGCAGAATATGATAAGTTTGCGTATAAAAAGATAACGGATATTATGTTAAATGTGTTTGAGTTTATTCACAAGGGCCGGATTTTTACCTTTTCTTCTCAGCCTTCAAATCTGATATG